CACATTCAACCCTTGGCCCTGCCTGTCCTTGCCCCTCGTGGTTTGCCACCACAGTCCCTGGTGGTCTCTGAGGCTGAAGATTTTGGTCTTCCTCATGACTGAACTTTTGAACTTTTCCCCTTTGAGAACCTGACCGTCTGTCAGTCTTGATGGGCTTGGAGAAGAGAAGCTTCTTTGTCTGGGTTCTTTGCATCCTCGGACTCCTCCAGTATTGTTCTTTATGCAAGAAGCTTCAGAAATTTGCACTTTCCTCTGCCCTTTGTACCATGGCAGAGGTTTCTTAAGTAAAAGGTCAAAATTCAACACATAATTCTACAAGCTAAAATTTAAATGCTTAATTCATTTTGTTAACTCAAGTGAACTCCAAAAATCTCTATCTCACCCAGACCCACGTGCTGTTCAGGTTTCCCTACACTGTTCAAAGCAGGGCAGCTCCAATGTGCCCAGAGCTGCTCGGGTGTGATGTGGCACCGTGGGCAAGAGCCAAACCCCACGTCTGACAGTGAAAGCGTTCTGCTGGAGCACAGGAAAGCGAATTACTGTGGAGTTAACAAGAAAATCCATCATTGGTGGGAAGAGGAGGAGGGAACTGGTTGAAGGATCCACGTACAGGACTGCGACAGCGATCAAACAACAGCCCTTTAAATGTCAAGGGGGGTGAGCGTGGTTTAATAGCAAGCAAAACGCTGCCAAGCTGGGTGATGAGGAACAAAGCAGAGGGATGGAGACATCCACCCATTATCTGCTCCCTGGAGAAAGAGAGGAGGGAGATAATTCAGGTTTATGCTTGATCTGCTGTGTAAATCTCAGAGAGGTAATGTTTTCTTTTATCAAAGAGTGAAAAAAAACCCTGTTTGTTTTCAGCAGTGTCCCTGCCATCAGCCAGGCAGCCCGTGCTCGGCTGTACAATGAGATTCACAGCGTTTTCCTGCCCAGAGCTGGGCAGGATTGCACCCAGGAGGGATGGAACCCTGCAGGGTGTGGCAGCTGGGCAGCCCTGGCGCCCTTGGAGGCAGAGGACTGTGAAAAACGCCAATCACTTAGTTTTTAAAAATTTTAAAAGTTTAATAATAATATAAAAATAGCAATACAATTAGAGTAATAAAGTTTAGAGTCAGGACAATTACAAGACAATAAAAAGCAAAGAATTACAGATGTTTGGATGCTCTCAGACACTAAGTTACAAAAAGCATAGCTTGTGAACAAAGGAATAACCTTAAAAGCAATAGCCTGTTGCATATTCATATATCTCATACATGATGCATAATTTTTTTGCAAATTAAGAACTTTTCTGGTTTTTGTCAACTTCTTCTCCTTAATCTTGTTGGTTCTACAAAGATGGAGAGAAGGTGGAAGAATGTTTTTCTTTTCTGATAAGGAGGCAGTAACTTTTTATGGGCCCCCTTCACTGATATCTCTGTGTGAAGAGCTTTTTAATTATCTCATCTTCCTGCTTGAGCTTGTAACAAATTTTATATAGCAGAGTTTCTATTTTAACATTATGTTGTAACCTAAAACTACATTTAACACACTACATAAGAGAATTAATACAGCATAACTTTCTAAATAACTTTCTAACCTTACATATATAATATTCATTGTAACATTTGCAAAAAGCCATTCATAAAATAGGCATTTTTCACAGCACGGAGTATGAGTGGGGCACAGAGGGATCTGCAGGATGCAGGGTTTGCAGCAACAGGAGTGAAATGCTTTTACCTTCACAAATAAAACTCATGGAAGGGTGTGAAATGCTTTTGTTCTGCACACCCGTGCCCTGGGCTAGGGAGGGAATGCGTGGCTGTCCCTGCCCTCAGTGGGGCGTTGGGGTTGTCCCTCCACCTCCCTGCCAGGCTAAAGAATAAAGCAGGGATTTATTCAAGGATCTCCTCCATGGATCCACCTTGGGCAGCACCAGAGCCCAGCCAGGGCTGCACCCAAATGAACCAAAATGGTCCCAAAATGCACGAGCGCTCCCGGGGCTCTCCCTGGGATCAGTTCTGCTCCATTGGCACCTTGGAGTTCATTGTCCCATTCCAGCTCCAGCCCAGGCAGTCCCACTCTGCTTGTTTTTCTCTCTCCAGCCCACGCTGTTTGTGCTCCTGGGCTGAGGTTTGGATCATTTGTCCTTGGTGCCCAGCTGGAGCAGGAATTGTTTTGTCTCCCTGCTCTGTGCAGAGAGCTCAGCATCCCCTAATATGAAGCTCCGAACTGCACACTAAAGCAGCACAGAATGTGAAAAATATAAAAGCTAAAACCTGAGGCATCACCAGGGCTCTCCCACCATGCTCTGGGTACCTGGCACCCCTAAAGGATTTCACTGCAATCACAGCTGGATTTGATGAACTTGGAGGTCTTTTCCAACCTGTAAGGAAAAAAAGAACACTGAGCATTATGACTTCAGCATTATGACTTCAGCATTAAAGCAGCAAGGCATGAAAAGCTGGGCTGTGTTGGGAGAAGGGAGATCCCTGGGCTGGTCAAGGGGCAGCAGGGAAGGGCTTTGTACTCTGAGAAGCACAAAAGCAGCTTTTGCAAAGCCAGCTCCTCAGATCTGCGGGTATTTGCGTTTCCATTCATCTCCCTGCATCGCAATTCTTTGTGCAAAGTAGGGATCGTGCCCTCTGCTTTCACAGGGACTGGAAAGATGTTCCCGGGTATTTGTAGAACACTCCTGATGTGTATTTACAAGAGGCATAAGGAAAATCAGGAGGAAATGAAGAGTTCAGTATTCAGAGCGGGCTCTGAGCAGTAAGAGCACCCACTCCAGGGGAATCTGAGTGTGGAATTTCCTGCTCAGCTGGCTCAGCGTGGGGCTGGGCTGGTGGCACAAACCTGTCCCTGTGTGGATGTGCCAGCACCCAGAGGCTGCACTAACCTTTAATGGGTAAAAATGAGTTTTTATTTACTGGTGGTGTGGTGCTTGGTTTTCCCAGCTGCTCCTCCCATCCAGGTTTTGCACAGCTTGGACCTGTATGTACATTTTATAAAAGGTCTGCTGGAATGTGTTACTGCAGAAATAAAACTAAACTCTGCTTCATTTTTAATGAGCCATCAGGGAGCAAGTTATTGCTTGTGTGTTGGAGTGGTTTTCTGCTCCCAGGCTGTTTATACCAAAATGTCTTGGAGAGAAAATTGTGATTAAATATCTTGAGAGATACCTGTATTTGTGCTGAAAGCCTTTCTCTCAGCCAGGAGTGGGGCTGTCAGAACTGCTGAAAGTGAAGCACAATTCAACATAAACAGGTGGCCTTGAGAACCATCAGCAGAATACTAAACCAAAATACTGATTTACTCTGTATTAAGTGTCCTGTGGTTTCAGTGCTAGCCACGAATGGCCTCTGAACTCTCTGTGTGCAGATATTTTGCCTTTGGGGGGGATTATAAAAATGGAGGGTCCCGTCTCCGCTGCAATGCCAGCTCCGGCCGCACGAGGGCGCTGTCTCCGGCGGGCCGTGCCCCGCGCGGCGCT